CATACTTGGTCGATATATTCGGCAAAGGATCAACATTTATCGTCAGAATTGACGGTTCTATGGTGTAATGGTCAGCACTCTGGACTCTGAATCCAGCGATCCGAGTTCGAGTCTCGGTAGAACCTTACTTTTTTTAGAAAATATATTTGTGGTTTCTGTAAACAGCACAACAGCAGAGCAATGATATCAAACCGTAAAAATGATAACCGTCGCCGATAGGATTCGAACCTATGCGGGGAGACCCCAATGGATTTCTAGTCCATCGCCTTAACCACTCGGCCACGACGACTTGTGAATTGCGGTCGCAATTGCGTAAGTGGTCGTACGAGCGCCTTTACACAACTGACACAGTGGTCTTAATTGCAGGTTTCATCGAAAAATGGAAAAAGGTTTCCGAGCTTGCCAGGATTCGAACCTGGAATCTCCTGATCCGTAGTCAGGCGCGTTATCCATTGCGCCACAAGCCCTAACACAAGCGCCAGTTGTCCTTTGTGATCTCTTACCGGGACCTCTGAAATGGTATCTGTTTTTTTTGGCGGCAAGATTCCTTGCAACGGTACTACATGCCCGGCTAGCTCAGTCGGTAGAGCACGAGACTCTTTTCCGGTTGAGTATCTAAGCTAGAAAGTCGTGTTTACGTCGTCTCCAGGATCTACTCAACCGTGAACATGATCAACATTGAGATTCTCCTCACTTAGTGAAAGCTACAAACAGTGAAAATGGCTAATGCAATGGATATTAAACAAGATTTCAAGAATAGGACTATTAATGTAGATTTATATAGTGATATAAGGATTATTGATGTGATAAAAGAGGTAGAAGAAATTGTTGGAACAAATAGTGTCATCTACGCATGCCCTTTACAAGGTAATTTAGAATTGACTTTTGATCGTACTGATAGACTGCAACATCTGAATGAAACGCCTATCATTGTAAATAATCAAGAACTGAAATTCACTCCAGTAGGGTTTAAATATGTGATAGTCTCATTTATGCATATCCCAGTATATATTTCCGACCATGAAATATTGGCGAAGCTCGAAGGGTGGAATGTGAAGCCGCTGGGTGAGATAAGGCATAGGAAGATCAAATACGAAGACAGAGAGATCCCCGACGGTACAAGATATATAAAATGCGAGTTTCCTCCAAATGTTAACAGCCTCCCATATGCCACAATGCTAGATGGCAAATCATTTATTGTCAAGCATAACAACCAGGCCAAAGTTTGTTTTGGGTGCCTAAATCCCGATCATGAAATAAAGAACTGCCCAGACTCAAAGTGCAAAAGATGCGGTCAAAGAGGACACATAAAAAAATTCTGCGAAGAGAGTGTTTGTATTAATTGTGGTGAATACACTCACGTTTGCAAATGTATCTCTGAACTCAAATCAACTAGCGAACCTGAACTAAATCCTATCCAACAATTTAAAGAGACAACCCCCCTGTTAAGTGAACCAAATACAACTGATATGCCAATCGACGATAATACCCTTCATCCTATACTAATTGAAACTCCTATAGATAGAACGAAACCCATCAAAAGAACTCAAACAGAAACTATAACTCCTCCGAAAAATGAAAACAAAAAAGGCAAAACCAATGACCAAATAGAAGATAGTGAGCAACATGAATCCAAGAACAGTAATGCTGATTCCCCCATTGCTCCCAATGTGAACCCCGATACCCACCCTAATAGTCATGATGGTGATACCCCACCTCCAGAAAAATCCATCCCGAAGAAAACACTCTCAAAATACCCCCTGCCACCTAAAGCAGCTTCCCGCAGCCCAACCCTAAATAGTAAAATCAACAGCTCCATGAAAACTTTAGAAAACATAGACAATATTGTATCAAAACGTGAATTGTTACGTAGAGAACTTGCAGATACACACTCATTTCTTAGTACCAGAAACCGCTTTAAAACAGACCCAATTAAACCTAATCTAAATGCTCCAAGGAAATCAAAAAGTGGTGAATCCCTTGTGTAATCCCACCCAACCGCCCTCCAACGGAACATGAAACTAGTTTCCTTCAACGCAAATGGACTCAAAAACCCGCATAATATCCAAAATTTATTTACTTTATTTATTTTTCTTAACTTTGACATTATACTTTTACAAGAAACATTTTGGGATGAAGAAACTACAAATTATTGCAAAAAATTATGGAAAGGGAAAATTTTATATAATAATTCAACAGACAATCGAAAAGGTGTAGCCATTCTTATAGTCAATAAATTTGCAAATAATATCAATACTGAAACCAAAGATGATCATGGACGAATTTTAAAAATCAACATTACCATAAGCAATCAAAACTTAGATATTTTCTCTATTTATGCCCCAAATAACTATAATGAAAGGATATACTTTTTTGACATTTTAAAAAATGATTATTTAAGTATTAACCAGCCTAGCATTTTAGGTGGTGATTTTAATGAAATTTTAGATGTAAATAAAGATAGATGTAAAAAAATGCATACAATAAAAAAAAGTTCCACCTCATTTAATAACTTTGTAAATAATAATAATTTGATTGACTCTTTTAGATATTTTAATCCAAATAAACAACATTTTACCAGAACACAAGACAGAGAGGGCTCTTTAAAACTAAGTAGAATTGATTATGTATTTTTTAGTAATTGTATTTCCAATTTTGCCAAGTACTCTTTTATACAACCATGTAGTTTTTCAGATCATAATTTTATCGTATGCATTTTTAATTTTCAATTATTTGAAAGGGGACCAGGTACCTGGATTTTTAATAACACCCTACTGACAGATAACAAATATAATGATGTTGTTAAAAATTTAATCACTAGTCAAGTTGATAATGAGATATATAAGGATGCTCCACTTTTGTGGTGGGACACCCTTAAATATCTCATTAAAAAGGAATCAATCAAGTATTCCAAAGAAAAAGCTAAAACCGAAAAAACTGAATTTTGGAACTTAAGTAACAATTTATTAAAAGAACAAGAAAAAGCAAGCAAAGGCCTTAATTATGATCCTGCCCTTATTCAAGACCTAGAAAGTAAGATAGAGATATATGAAATCAAAAAATGTCAAGGCGCAATACTAAGATCAAAATCACAAGACGCCCTCGAAAATGAAAAGTGCACCTCCTATTTTCTAGGTTTAGAAAAGAAAAGACAGGAATATAACTATATAGACTCCATTTATAATTCTTATGATGTAGTTATAGATAATCCCCCTGATGTCATTCAAACGTGCACTGATTACTATAAGCAACTATATAGTAAAGAGCCAGAATGTACAGATACCCATTTACACCAAAAATCTATATGCAGTACTATCAGTGTGCGCTTGAGTGATATCAACAGAGACAAGTGTGATGCTCCTATCACATCCCAGGAGGCATATAGAGCCCTTGATGGTATGAAAAGGGGGAAATCCCCCGGATCAGATGGCCTAACCGTTGAGTTCTATGTACACTTCTGGGATGCGATAGGACCAATATACATGTATATATTAGAAAATATTTTCAATCTTCAAAATCTCAGTAAAACCATGAAACAAGGAATTATAAGCCTTTTTTACAAAAATAAAGGAGACAAAAGAAATTTGAAATATTATCGCCCTATAACACTCCTTAATGTTGACTACAAGATATATACAAGGATTTTTGCTCTTCGCCTCAGAACATGTATTGCTAGCATTATCTCCCCTGAGCAATCTTGTGTGCCAGGTAGAGATATTGCTAACAATATATCTTCTATAAGAGATCTCATTAGTTACACTCATTCCAATGATATCACTGCATACATTTTAAAAATAGACGCCCAAAAAGCGTTCGATAGTTTAAGGTTCTCTTATTTATTCCAAATTCTACAGTCTTATGGCTTCGGCCAAAACTTTATTTCACATATTAAATTATTTTATTTTAATGTATTAAGCTGTGTGAAAGTAAATGGCCACTTATCCCTATATTTCCCTGTGGAACGAGGCCCTCGTCAAGGATGTCCATTAAGTGCACTATTATATGTACTGTCAGCACAACCAGTTCATAATATTCTCACATCAGCTAATAACATACATGGAA